CCCTTTGGAGATGTAATTTATTATATATGCCTGAGTGGGTTGTTTTGTTTGTGTGTTTTTTAAAAAGCTAAAGTGGATAGAGAGAAATACTTTTAACTCAAAGTGTTTGGAGGAGATCATAATCAATGTAATGAAACAAGGTATATGAATGGTTGAATGTGAGACTGATGATGTGCCCTGTAAACTTTCACTCAATCCACAATAAAAACCTTAAAAATAAAATAAAATAAAAATAAAGGCATGCACATTTTGTTTAGAACTAAGTACAATGTCAGTAACGTATGACCATTTAGCCTGCTTATTAAAACGAACAGATTCATAAGAGGTATTGGGATATTGAGTGACCACAGAAAGGAAGTGGGTGGCAAATAAAGTACTCCGTAAGCGACACAACCAGGGAGAAAAAATGAGAAAGAACGTGGTCATATTTCAACCGCCTCTCCCATTCCTGTTATCAATTCGATTTCCATCCCAGGCAGCCTCTGTGCCGCCCAGCCCCGCCCATTTCACACCTGGCAGCACAGATGCCAGTGCTCCAGTCCTTCATGCTGGAGGCAGATTGCTGCCCCTGCTTGTCCAGCCTTTGCTGATGGTCCTTGTCAAAGCCAATTACTGGCAGACCGCCTTCCTATTTGACCACAGCCATCTCTTGCCATAAAATGTATCTTTAAAGGTCCAGCATATTAACAGCAGTCCAAGGACTTGCTCAGAAGGCTCCAGAACAGCAATCCTCCTCTGAAGCTGTGATGAGAATTAAGTTGAATACACTGTGAGAAGCAAAGGTGTCAAAGGAGCCCTGAGATTCTTCTAGAAGCAAATGGCAATAGATGTGGTACTTGCAGGCACCGGAGTCAAGGTTTGAACCTGCAGGGTGGCTCTCATTTAACCACTATGAGGGGAGCCTATCTGCTATTTTATTTGTAGACGCATCCTGCTTTGGGAATCAAAACAAATAAAAAGGATCTGGAGGATTTCCTTCACTCTCCATGACACAGGAGGTAAAGAAAGAGAAAGGCGGGAACTGGTAGAGGTGCCGACTCCAACATCCCGTAGTGGCTGGTGCCTAGGACCAGCTACACAATTCCAAAGAACCAGGGTAAAATGAAAACACAGGGCCATTGTTCAAAACACCGAAAAAAAGTACAGCCAAAGGAACTTAACCATCAAGTTTTTCTCTACTATTCTAAAGTCTACTCAGTGTTGTGGGGATACTTACAGGATGAGTACAGACTCTAACAGAGACCCAAAGCCCTGTCTATGACTTGGTACACATGGGCAGGGCCTTAGGATCCCCTGAGATCTACCTCCTTCCAGCCTCAGACCAATGCACCATGGTCTGGCTGGGTGCAGAGAAGTAGTGCCAGGAAATACCCACTTCCCAGGGGCTCCCAACTTCAGCCCCTGCACACTAGTTACCTGAGAATATGCCAACCTCTGCACAGGGTTACTCTGGGGATCTGGATTCAGAACAGACAAGAGGCTTACCCTTGCTGAGATGCCTGAATCACACTATGGTACTGGGTCAACTACCACCATACCCCAGCCCTAAACATCACGGGGCACACACCCAACACAAACCCTCCTTGGGCCATGCAGACTGTAGCAGGAGTCACAGGGTGGGGACAGGAATGGGCCTTGTCCTGGGAAGTCGGTGGGTGGGTAGTCCATGTGCAGACCAAGGCTCCCCACAGTCCCATCAGAATGCACTTAAAGCTGTGTCTAACACAGTGGACATTACTCACCAACCACAAATGCACAGATGCCATTCGGAGCAACTTTAAGAGGACGACAGATCAGCAGTAAACCCCACGCGCAGGGTCCTCCCCAATCAGCACATCTGCTACCTGCACTGGCCACACCCCCACACGTTGGCCTGGTGGTATCCCCACAGAAGCCCAGAAGCAAACTGGGCCGGAGTGTCTGCTCACTTCTCATCACAGAACACGGGCCTTCAACCTGCACGATGGCTGAGAGGGCAAAGCGGCTTCGCCTTACACAGGTGTGAGGCTACTCTGGAGGAGGACAGGGTGAGGGCTCTTGTACTATCTCGTCAGCTACCTGTCCCACTGCTCATCAAGACAGAGTCCAGTTCATCTTTCAAGGCTTCTGAAGTCCAGCCATGTCAAGAACAGCCATAGCTTTCTGACACTGTGCAAACAGCTGATGTAAGATACAGGCAGAGTGTTGGCGGTTACAGAAACCCTCTAAACCTGGACTCGACCTAGAGATTTACTTCAGGGGTTGGGGAGGGTGGGAAACAGAGAACTGAGAAGGCTTAACTATTTAGTGGCCCTGGGATGGTGGTCTGTAACAACTGGGCCACTAGCAAACACGATTACTTAGATACAAGAATATAAACCACGGCTGAAAACACGCTGTTTACAAACCTTGGCTTCCGGGTCACTGTTGATACTACAAGAATCGTCATCATCAGCATGTGGGACATTTCTATGAAAAAAGAAAAAAACAGGAAATTGGATTTAGAGTTCGGGTATGAGTTCCAGCCTGCACAAGCAAACACTCTAGAAGAATCTCTAGGTGTCCTACCTGAGCTTCAAAGATGCATAGCGTAGTGTTGCTCCTTCAAACTCTTTTAGACTGGGGTCTGGGTTAACAGTGGCTGCATGCAAGTCCTAGAGGAAAACAGAGACCTGTTAACATGGACTAGAGAGGGGATCCAGTATATTTCCTCAAATATCAAAGAGGACAAGAGTCCTCCTGGCCCCGAGCACATGTGAGCAGAAGTGGAAAGAAGCATGCAAGGGCCTTGTTACAATAGGTGAGCTGGGGCTGCCAGCTGGAAGCCATTTACAACAGGCGACATTGGAAACAAAGGCAGCATGGATGTGAGCTGACCATCCCCAGCATGAAGCCCCCTCACTCTGTCCCTGCAGAATGCATGATATTCACAAAGAAGAACCATATACAGCCAGGGCCATGCAAAGAGGAAATAAAACAACAATGAAATGATCTAAAATCTGACAAGATACTTGCCTTCCAAATGTCACTATTAATCTTTCCCCCATTCAGAACAGCAAAATCACTCCATGGCTGTTTCTAGACATATAAGTATTCACATAGGGAAAAAGCACATTGATTAAAAAAAAAAAACAAAAAAGGAAGAAGAAAAGAAACAAAACAAAACACAAGACAGGGTTGTTAGCATTGATATTCACAGGATGGATTAGGGAACAAATTCACTCTAAAGTAACTGGTTAGCTCATTCTAGTGTTGATCAAGGTTGTCATCGCAAGAACTTACAGAGGGGAAAGACATGGTGCTATACTTATTTACCAAAAACAACTAAACAAGGGAAGCCCAGGTGTATCAGAAACAGACAGTAAAGCTATTTTCTAAATATGCTTCCAGACATTGAATGCCTAGCACACCAACTCCATAGGAACTTTTTGTATTGTTTTTCCCTATTAACCAAATAATTGCTTCCTACAGGTGGGAGTGAGATCAGGGATGCTATTTCTTACTATGTTGGTTTGGAAAAATGGAAATGTCCTGGAATAAGGGTATAAAAAGCTGGAGTCAAATGCTTTTTACGTAAAAGGAGAACAAATAATAAAGGGGCAAGAGGACTAATTGGGAACAGAGGCAGATATCCAAATACCTTGCAGAATTTGGAATCCAATAAAAACTAGCTGAAACACTCTTAATTTGAATGCCTCTAATGCAAGAGTCCTGGTGTGGCACTGTGGGTTAATGTGCTGGATTGCAAAGTCGCTTGGAACTACAAGGCCGACGGTTCAAGCTCACAAGCTGCTCATTGGAAACCCTATACAGGGTTGCTATGGGTTGGAATCGACTTGACGATACATAACAACAACAACAACACATTCATAAATGGACTCCTGGTGTGCCGCTGTAGGATCAGCACTAGACTGAAAGGTTGGTTGAACCACAAGGTTGGCAGTTCAAACCCACTAGTTGCTCCTTGGAAACCCCATACAGGGTCTCTGTGAGTTGGAATCAACTAGAAGGCACTTGACAACAACAACAACAATTCACAAAAAACTCTACTGCAATGCCACACACATCTTTTCTCAAATTAATATTTGATCATGAACCAATTTTCTCAAACCAATTAGAGTACAAAGCATGAAACCTTGACGTGTTGGGAGAACTCTCACAGCTGTTATTTGAATTTAAACAACTCCTTCCATTCACTTCAGACAACACAGAAGTGTTTTTCTTTCTAGTTTGCTGCGTGAATATTCCCATATTTTACACTAACATTGAGGGTAATACAAGAAGCTATTAAAACCGAGGGGCCACCCTTCAGAATGTATTCCATAGCCCTGCCAGGCAAATCTCTTCCCAACAATGCAAACTTTTTAACATGAGAAGGGAATATTGACCCACAACTTTTGCCACAACATCTATACCATTTTAAAAACCACCAAGAGCAGAAAATGAAGTTCAAGATGCATTTAAACACTTAAGGACATTATGGGAGCAGTCACTGCAAATTTAGATCCAGTAGCACTAAGCCCCACTAAGGCTACATTTTCTAAATAAAAAGGAACTCAGACCACTATTTATTTAAAATGTTTTTCTCCTATTAAATAAGGGACAGGATTGCTGCCCACCCCTCACCTCTCTCCGTACTCCACCCCATAAAGAAGGCTCAGAGGTCACTGAGGAGAAAATCAATGACATATTAGCTGGGAGTTCTGGCGTGGTTCTATAAGTTGTTTGAACCATAAGGACGGTGGTTCAAACCCACCAGCTGTTCCTCGGAAACCCTACATAGGATCTCAGTGAGTTGGAACCAACGCAACAGCACGTAACAACACCTACCTGTTAGCTGAGGGGAGCCACGAACACCCTAGAATAGCGTGTTGTGTTTTGTACAAATGTGAGTTTTCCTGAGGAGAAGATTCATACTGTCCTCATATACTCATGGGGTGCGATGGCCAAAAAAGCTGTATAGCTACCATTGTAGGAATCTTGGTAAGCACCATGACACATACTTGAAATAGTATAAAATAAAACTTCAAGGTAGAATTCCATTTTAAAAAGAAAAAAGATTCTTATTTGTCCCCAAATCGTCATCATTGTTTACCTGTAAGCAATATTTCTTTCACTGAAGTTGAATTATGAAAAAGGCTAGGAGATGAATTAGGAAGACTCGTGAGATAACTGTTCTTTCAAAGAATTTGTTGTTTTTTAAAAAAGGGGTATTTGAAAAAAATAATCTGAAGACAGAAATTACGTTCAAGATACACATTGTGTTGGGGATGGAGAGTGTTAATGGGCTTTTTGTTTGTTTGTCTAATTTCAGAGAAGCCATTGGCTCTTCATTAAAACAGTTCACTGTACATGAGAGTGCCTTACAAAACTTCTTATGTACAGGTAGTCCCTGATTTACAACGGAAGTCCTGCTCACGGCGGTCTGTTTTGGGGCTTCTTTTTGTACATCTGATCTTGAGTAATCTGTATTACATACAGAATGGTCTACATACAGAAGTTCACTTGCAGATGTTCAAAGATCTACAAAGACACTGATAATAAGAGGAAATGAAAAGGAACACTTAAAAAATTAAGAAGAGGAATTCAATTTATGTCAGAACAGATTTACAATGGAGTCATTGGAATGGAACCCTGTGGTAAATTGGGACTACTGTATTTGCTTTCTGAATTTGGAGTCTGAGTAAAGTAAAAGCTGATTACAGCTTTCATGCTATGGAAACATGAATCCATTGGCAAACACCCAACCATTTTACTTCTATAGATTTAAATAAAAAAAGACTCTATAAAGTAATTTTGCAAAAACTTTAAAAATAACACCTAAAGAGACTCTTTAGCATAGAATTCAAATAATGGAAAATGGGAACTAACATTATATATGTTATGAATAGGCCAATTACCGCCCCCCTCCTATATTTAAAAATAAACAAAAAAATATTCATCTAGGTTGAGGATATGCAGATGATATGCAATATGCACAGGATACAACCTTGCTTGCTGAAAGCAAAGAGGACTTAAAATACTTGCTGATGAAGATCAAAGACCCCAGCTTTCCATAGGGGTTGCACCTCAATGTAAAGGAAACAAAAATCCTTACAAATGGACCAATAAACAACGTCCATATAAATGGAGAAAAGATTGAAGCTGTAAAAGACTTCATTTTGCTTAGATCAACCAACAACACTCATGGAAGCAGCAGTTACGAAATCAAAGACGTATTGCATGAGGCAAATCTACTGCATAAGACCTCTTTAAAGTGTTGCAGAGGAAAGATGCTGATTTGAGGAATAAGGTACGCCTGATCCAAGCCATGGTATTTTCCACTAATCTCATATGCATGTGGAAGTTGGACAGTGAATAAGGAAGACCGTAGAAAAACTGATATATTTGAGCTATGGTGTTGGAAGAGAATACTGAAAGTACCATGGAGTGCCAGAGGAACAAACAAAACTATGTTAAAAGACATACAGCCAGAATCTTCCTTGGAAGCCAGGGCGATGAGACTTCAACTCTCATACTTCAGCTATAATACGGAGGAATCAGCCCCTGGAGAAGGACATTATGCTAGGTAAAGTGGAGGGTCAGCAAAAAAGAGGAAGATCCCCAACAAGATGGAATGGTTCTGTGGCTGCAGGTTCAAGTGTAGCAGTGGTTATGAGGGTGGTACAGGGCAGGGCCAGGTAGCTTCGTTCTGTTGTGCATAGGGTCTCTATGGGTTGGAACTCATTGGCTAACACCTAACAACAATGATATGAAGTAGAATCAAAATACAGACTAGAGCAAATAAAAAGGACTGAACTACTGGGAATGCACACAGTGGAATGTACTTTAACATTCCACAGTTGCTTCAATAGATGTTGGAATCACATTGTTTCTGTACACACTTCACTTCTGATATTCTGAAGTTATGAAGTCTTGCTGGGTAGCCTAAGACCAAATCCTTCATCAGCTCTCATTTGCCCTGGGACCTCAGTTTCCTCCCATGTAGCCCAAGGCTAAGAAGACCTCCCAGCATGCACCATCAAGAAGACATGTGAGAACAGGGACTGCCCTGGAAATAGCAGTTTCCCTATTTTCTGCTCTCTTTTCTGAGGGCATATTTGGTATATTTGGTAGCACACATATCTTAAACCATGGAATCCATGGATTTAAAAACAAACAAACAATGTAGGCCACCTGCAAGAATAAAAATTTGAGGATCTCTAGACTAAAAAGTATTATAATTACACTTTTCTGAATCCTCCACTGTCAAGACTTGAGCCTCCAAATGTGTGGCCCTGATGGCAAATGGCAGAGAACTTGGAATTCTAGAATCTTCCAAGGGATAGGCTAGGCAATGCTAAAGGGCCGTTTACCCACATATGTGTAGCTATCTGCCCCTTCCTTTTAAACTGCTGTGTGTTTTTGGATAAAGGACCCTCAGAGGAGTGCAGCATTGTATTACCATGCAAACACAATTCAGAAAAGTTAAAGAAAAGTGGTAAACTAGTAAACATACTGACAAAAGTTTGTGCCATTAAATGAGTCTGGGTGGGATTAACATGCCCATGAAAAGACTGTAAACTAGGGAGACGTCAGGGGACCCAGGATCTACGCTGGCTTTGCTATGACAGCCGGTTCACGGACAGCTCCCTCAGATACGAGGCTGATTTAT